CAAAAAACCCATGAATTGATTTAAAATTTTGCAGGTAGCTTCTTAATAGTAATAGGAATCTATAATAACAAATTCAACATGCTAGAATTATTTAAGTATACATATAGCCTATTAAGCCAATACATCCTTAATGAATGTTTTAAATCTTGTAATTATTGAATTATCCGAGATGTAATAAAATTAGACAGTCGATTCAAGTCGTGTGTTAAAGGAAATAAAAGATGAAAGAATGTGTATACGGGAGGATCGAGGCGCTTCTGAAATATCAATTTGAAACAGCCACGGGTGTAGGTATGCGTCATACTTTCCACCGGCCATTATGGCCGGCTTTCCATTTTTATTTATATTTACCGTCGAGCGCGAACTGCCAGCCCCTGGACCAGCCGCGATTTTATATCCGTCGTTCTCGGGTCAGCGAGGTGCGGAAACGAGAGGGAAAACCGGATAGAACGGGCGAGGAAAAAAAAGAAAGGTTCGTCCCGGTTACGTTGCGTTCCCGAGACTCCTGCTCTGCCCGATATTTTACGACATTTTGTTTCCAATCCGCGGTAGAAGGCGGCGGGGCATCATCGGCATCGGGCCTTATTCGACTTTTACGATGTTAAATCGTGACGAAGTGTCCTCGGAATTGCTCCCTTCGCCGATCTCCTTTTCTCTTCCTCGCTTCCCTTCGTATACACTTAGCCACGATTCTTTCCCGAAGCTTGAAACATGGCAAGCTTTCGAAGCAAATGACCCGACGTTATTCATTTTATATTTGATGGCGTTCGTTCCTATTAATTTTTCTTTACTATGTGGTATGTCGTTTAATTCTAGAAAATGTTGACTGCTCGTGTAAGAATTTTCTTTTTAGACGATACTGCTTCGGCACATGATGGTTAGTTTATCTCGGACGCGTGACGTCCTCCGAGAAATAGTAAAATACTAGCCGGGGCAACACATTTCACGGACGAATCTCGGGGTCGCGACCGATAGGATCGTCGCATTTCCCGTGGACGCTCATATATAAGGCAAACTTATGCCGAACGTAAATTCCCCTGGTATTGCTAGTGGCTATCTTATCACGGCCGCGCTTTTCCAAGACGCCGATAGACCATGCTCGGACATTATGCGAAATTGAAAAACCGAAAGCGAGCCACCGGACGGACTTCCGGTGAACCGAAGGGTCGCGCGATTCTATCCGCTAAATTCGATAAATACACATGTCAGAGGAATGCTACTGTTAGCTGCCTCGAACTCGTCTTTTCCTTCCTCCTTCGAATTTCTGTAGATATAAAACATGTTTTAATAAAATACAGTACGGCGTGTACGATAACAATCCCATCATTATTTTTATTCATCATTTTCCAAGCACGCTGAACGACGCTAGGAATCTGCAGAGGAGTAGGAAACGCGATTGTTGATAGCTTAACATACCTCGACATTAAACCATTCGGCAAGCAAGTCGGGGATTCCGAAAACACCTTGGATTGTCTGCGGCACAGCAAAGACACAGGCACGGGCCTGAAATAACAATAACCCCTATTCACCGTGGTGGCATTTGACAGCGGGGTCGGAAACAATGAAACAATCAACCCCGGCGAGGGTTTCGCGGTGGGTGGAAGAGGCCGGAAATCAACAGTACCGGACAATGCCGGCCGGCGTCTGACTACCGTTCCTAATTAACTAAGTTCGCCAACTTTGGCCGGACTTGACGACCCTTAACGCATAATCATTCACTCGACTCTGCCCACGCCTCGCGTTTGTCTTACGACCGATCACCGTCCCTGTTACCTAGTTTCTAAACAAATATTTCGGCGACCTACTTTTGCCAATTGATTATCCGTCACATCTATTGTACTTTGAAGATAGATTCAGCCTTAGATACTTCGATACTAATTGTCAAGGCACGCATAAAGAGAAATACTTAATAAGAAAGAGTCATGTGTGTTATCAGAAAACTATTTGATAGGGATTAGAAGAATTCCGATTATCGTCACTCTACAAACGGCTAGGATTAGGGGATGGAACGAAGAAAAAGACGGGAGGTTCGATCACGTGGCACTGACGCTATTAACAAACCTCTCTCGCCTACTGCCCTTCCGTTGCATCCCTCTATCGCCGTCTCGCTCGCTCTTCGCGATCCCCTCCGTTTCGCTGCATTTTATTATTCGCATAATCGGATCTGGGACGGCGATAGCGCCGGTGATTTCGGGTTTGTCTACGGTAACGCAGTTGTCGGCCCGACAATGCCGCCCCTGAATGCCTCATTGTCTGGCTAGGACCGACGCCCACTCAAAACTTCCACTCGCGCCATCGCCGACCGTCATTCTCCGCAATCAAACGATTCGTGCGATGCGCGCGAAGCTCTCTTCACCTGGCAAGCTACAAAACCGCTTATACAAGTATAATTGCTCACCGACGCGATCGGAACGTCTATCGAGACTCGTGCGTGTCGTTCGAGGAATTCTTAGAAAGTCGAGGAAAAGGATCGGGCATCGATTCTGACATAATTTTTATTAACGCTTGAAAAGTCGACGAGTATTGCGTCTTTGATACGAAACCAGATCGCGTTCTCTCGCGCTAGAAGTTTCCCAGCGGGGCGCGTTGCTAGTAAAGGGGATGAAGAGAGAGAGAGAAAGAGAGGGTGGTTCGGAGGCGTCGTCGACTACTGGCTGGCTAAAAGGAGTCTAGGCGGCTCTCCATTAGTATGCGCGGAAGTGCTGCTCGCTCGATTGTGGGAGGTATTGTCGGCGAAGAATGTCCTCGTTGCCGAGGCTCTGTACGAGGCTGCCGCCTTCCTTTGCCGTAAGGAGGCACACGAACCCAAGTCAAATGTAATCACTTTCGAATCGGAATCCACCCACCGTAGGAACGTTTCGTGTCTACTACCGTCGGTTCTCCGGGCTTCCGGTCGTTCCTTGCGCTTTCCTTCCAATTTTATATCACTAGTCGCGTCGGAACACAAGGGAACCTCTCAAAGCATACGTAACAAGTTTCCAAAATATTTTAATCAGTTAAAAATGTATGATGTTAATAAGCGTCCAATGAAATAACGGGCTTGCTCGTGTTCCATTAGAGAAAGGGGTTGAGGAAAGGAGAACGCGAGCAGCGGCGGAGAAAAGGCAAAGAATTATGGAATCGTGGTGGGATTCGCTGGCGCGAGAACGGAGACGGTTTCTGGCTCTCCATTCTGCTGTTATCTCGCCGCGAAGAAAGCGTGATTGCCTTTATGGGGGAAGAAAGGGTCCTTTGCGGTGGCGATAATGTCCTCGCGGCAGCGGCGGAGGCGTCGCTATCAGAAATAAAACACGACGCGACGCGAGCGTAGGGGTGGTTCGAGGGTCGAAGAGGAGGCGTGGATGTTCGTCCCTTTCCTCTCTTACCTCAACGATTCCACCGCGTACCCTGCGATTAGTTATGCGAATTTCTGTGCAACACCTTTCGATCGATTATTCTTACCCATGCTCTTTGAATTGTGGGTCAAGTATCGATGAACTAATACCTGTATATCGATCAGTTTATTTGTGGCTTCAAATTATGATAAGTTTGTATCATGCAAGGTAATTGGAAAGTTAATCAGGAAATCGTAGAAGAAAGGCAAAACGTTTTTTCGATTAAGATTCAATTTATTTACAAACGTCGCGTTATGTTACAGCAAATAATTAACAATGATTATTATGTCTCGGTACGAACGCAGCTGCTGCGTTAATTACGGAGCAACCGAGATCGAACTATGGGATCGCTAATGTTCCTCGGTCTCTTCTTTCTTCTCGTTCAACATTGAAAATAAACGGCGCGGGCGAGGAACTCGCCTGGATATATTCAGAAGATATGTTCCTATTCGTTTAGATACGCGTTTGGATTACATTTTTATCGTCGATTCTCTACGATCGTTACGATTTTATTTTACTTTTTTTTTTTTTAACTTCGTTAACTGTATACAATTTCTAGATGCGGGAGAAAAATGTGCACGCGTAAATTAGTTTCCATTCTGGTGTCGTCGGTCGTGACGCTCGATCGTCGTGGTCGATACACAACGTACAATGAATGTATTTGTGTGAGTCGCGATCGAAATTTCGCCGCGTGTGAAAAATACGCGCCACGCGCGCAACAAAACAAGCGTGTATAAAATTTGGAAAATGCCGGCGCGCGAAAGATCAGCTGCGATATAAAACTGCGAGAATCGCGGCGACAACAAATTCAACAATTCGCGGACAGAATCGACGCGTCTGCAAACAATTTGCACGAATTGAACGCTTTTATTATTGCTGGCCAGCCGCTTAACACGTTCGTTACCAGCGTCGAGACCATTGTCCGTTGACGCCCGTATAATTTGCCTTATCTTGAAATGTCCCGTTCAACACAATCGGAATCAGCGTGGAGAAAAATAAACTAGACGTTTCGATCCCTGCCGGCAACGAATGCGTCAGATTTGCAATAACATTTTTGTTAATAACAATACAAAAAGGGATAGAAGCTTGTTATCACATTATTTTTCACTATTCGCATCTTTCGAAACAAAAAGGAATAACAAAATCCTGATCAACACATGTAAACGTCTACGAAATTAATAACCACGTATCACAAGCTTTCGTGAAAGCTTTACGAAAATTGAACAGACGTATAATTTACTATAATAACGATTTCATCGACTTACCAGACCCCGGTCACAATCATCCTCTCTATCAATCGTGAAAGAGAATAACGGAAAGAAAAACTGTCGAGAAAGAGGAGGAAGACGCGGGAAGTATCGGGTAGATAGTTACAATATCGATGCGCGACGTCGGGCACCGCGACGCGACGCAATAAAATCATCTCGCGAGGGGGTTTTAAGGGGGGATGCGGGGGCGGGGGGTAGTGTAACGCGTATGCAGGTCCGCTGTGTCGCATCTACGTTAGCATTCAGAACGTTTGGCTTATTTCGCATGGCCGCGTCCCAAAGAAGAGATTTGCCTCCGCCAGAAGAGGGTTTTTTTTTCTCCTCCTTTTCCTCTCGTACGGGGGCGGCTCTTTTCTGTCCCCGTGGCCACCGCTTTGGCTCACGTGTGCGGTAATATGTGCTACGAGAGGGTTGGTTATCTCATCAAAATTGGACTCTTCTCTGGCATCCCTGTACACGCTTTGCCCAGAAGGGACCCTTTCGCATCTCTTTTTCTCTCTCTTCCTCTTTGTAGAATTTCGACCATGGCGAGTTATCGATTCGATTCAGCTTTGGTATCTACCATCGGTCTCGCATAACGAATTCTCGTCGGAACGTACGATTTACTGTCGAGAAGTCCTCGGCCAGTACGCTTTCTCTAGAGAAGGCGCGTTCGCGATTCACGCTCGATTCACTGTGATTTCTTTCAAGCCGAACTCTCTTCGAGAACCCAAAGGTCTTCGAATCTTTGTGGATACATTATATACAGTCGTAAAAAACATGGAATTATCATACAACGCAACAGGTTTACGAACAATCCAAGAAACCTTCCTGGTTTCTTCATCCATACGTTCTTACAGCACTCTCAAAAGTCACTTTACCGCCGACTAAAATTCCTCACTCGACGCGGAACATTTCGTATTATTAAGTATCTTTCCGTGTATTTTTTTTTTTTACCTCCAAGCACAATCTCGGATGGGACTACCCACCGTCCCCTAATTTATTTTTCATATCAATATATCACTGTACATTCCCGATATGAATCCTCGACCTGGCCATCGCAGAGTTCCTTTGCTCCTCCTGAAACTGAACCTCGTCATCCTTCGTGGAAGCGTTCAGGTTCGTGACGGTTGCCTGGGGAATCGGCGAGAGCATCGGCGGAACCCTCCACCAATCGGTGGTAGGCCATCCAGGTGGTATCAGGTTCCCCCGGAAATTTAGGTCCGGGAGAACCGGAAGCGGCCTTCATATGACGTGATTGCGATGCCCGGCTAAGTTGTTCGAGCTAGACGACGTCAGATTCTGAACGGAGAATGCGCTCTCGACTTTGGTGGTCGGCGTTGTCGTTGCCGCCGTGTTCACGGTCTTCTCCGTTTGCTCGGTGGGGGACGATGAAGACGACGAAGAGAAACGATCCTGGGACCTGTCTTCCTGGTGTCTGTCCGCCGATACCGAAAACGTATCCTCATCCAGTTTCCTGCAACGGGATTCCTCTCTGCTGGAGTCTCTGTCCGACGGGAACCCGTCGTCCTCGGGTTTTCCCGGACTGGGGAACGGCCTCTCTTCGAGTTTCGTAGGCAGGTACGTCCGCTTGGGATCCTTGGGCGAACTCGGACAGCCGCAGTTGGGCTGAAGACACGTGGCTGTTGACAAGCCTGGCCAAGACATCGTTTGGTGGCTCGAATAATATGTGCTGCCTCCGTAGAGAGCTTGAAAGGCGAGGTCCGCGGCTAGTTTTCCGCTGTTGAACTCTTCCCCGAGCTTGTGTTGAATGGGATAGAGTGGATAGGGAAACGGTGGAAAGAAACGGGGAATCTTGAGATCCTCGTGGCTCATCAGCGAGTGGTGAGAAGGCGGCGCCAAAGGTGGTAACAAGCCTCTCGATATGTTGCTCAGGGTCTCACCCGAGGACATCAGGGGCGATATCGAGAAGCCGAATTTGTTCTCCTTTTTCACCAAGGATTTCGGCTTCCTGCGAGGACGGTACTTGTAGTCCGGGTGCTCCTTCATGTGGAGAGCTCTGCAAGCAAAATGTTTTTTTCTCTGCTTACTACACTGATTTTACGTTTGAACACATCGGAAACAGATGTTTATTTCTAATCTTAATAATCAAAACACGAGTTAACGCAACGATAATTTCTTTCTCAATGAAACTTTTCAGATATTCGTTATCGCAAATCCATCGTTAAATTTGCTATACGGTGGGGTGACTTGTCTTCGAGCGTTTCAGGGGTTGCTTAATTGAATAGTTTCGCTACGGGGAACGCGGTAGTTCTCCGAGGGGTTCAACGCGCGTAATCCCTACCACCGCTGCTTAAACGAATTCGAAACGATAAACTCGTCATTACAAAATAATTTGGGAATCAAAAGTACCTTCGTATTTTTTAACCACAAAATTCTGCGTATCTATTCTGCATATCTTTGCTCACACATTTCTTGGATTTACCGAGCAACTGTTCTCGTACATCTGTAGACAATGATTCTGTCCTTTATCTACCTCGTCGATAATCTAAGGTGTCGCGTTATCACGCGAAGAATCGCGCCAAGTACGAGAGGAGACACTCGAGAGTGAATTCGGTAAACTTTGCTCTCTTTCTCTGTCTCTCTCTATCTCTCTCTCTCTCTCTCTCTCGGCACACCGTTATCCGTACAAAGGGACGTATTATCGTGGTGCTAGAACACGATACGGGACACCATGGGTATTTGTAGTAAATATCTTGTACACACACCCCGGGTCGGAGGCGCAGCCGAGGGGCTGGTAAGAGCGACGGGTAAGAACGAGCGAGGGGTAAAAGGAAAGAGAGAGGAGTCAGAGCCCCGTGGTATCTTCGTCACATAATACTCCATTATGTACCCAAGAGGCGCGCACAAACGCAGTCCTTATTTATGCCTCGCCTCGCGGAGATAAAAGAAAGCGGGGCGAGATAGGTGTTTCACGGGCGGGAACTCTTTTTTTAACGCGCCGTTAGAATCAATCCTCGCGGAAACGCGCGGCACGATGCGACGCAATGGAATCGTACCTCGGCCATCTCGCCGAGGGATTTTGCTCTCCGTGCCGCTGTTCCCGGTATGCGAGCTCGATTAACGAAAACTTGGGGTGTGTTCCGATCCTCGTTAAGCGGCGATTAAGGGTGGAACATATTGGTTTCATAAACCATTCGAGTACATTGAAGTGGACATTGCTAGGATTATTGACGCTACTACTTGTAATAATCGAGACAGATTATTTTTAAATAAATGAAGTCGTAACAGATAGGTACAATGATTGTTTTTTAAATGGGTCGGAAGGAACGATACCAGAGAATAGGCGGGCAACGAGGACGAAGTTCGCGCACTGGTAAAACTGATGCGATGGTTTGGTATGATGGAACATGGGAATAGAACGGATGGGTGAACGTCGAGGTGAGAATTTTCCAGCTCTCGCGAACGAAATCCGAAATTTCGGTTCCTCGCGGCGCGGCGGCGTGGCGAGAGTGACGCAGCGGAATAATAATTCCGGGACAATGTGTCCCGGCAGATAGCACAAAGCGTAAATCAGCATAAACATCGGTAAAGCCCCGCCGACAATAATTCAGCATAAATGCATAAACATCGGGCGTAATCTTTACAATTCGCTGGGAACCCTCGACCACCACCACTGCCGCTGCCGCTACCAGCACGCACACTAACGTGCAATACCAATCGTTGCTGGCAGCGAGCAGCACACCACTTCCAACCGCGCGATAAACAACGCGTTATATCATATCGGTGGACATAAGCCGGGCGGTAGTTGCGCTCTCGCGGCCCCCGCAACAAGAAACAATAACAATTAGTCACGATTGTCCGCCGATGGCTACGCCGAATGTCATTAGTGTAACGATTCGTCATAAATGTCATTGTGCGGCAACGATCGACAGACTTTCTCGATACGTGCGTACATACGTGCTCCCGGTTAACGTTCTGTGTAGATCTATCCCCGCGATCGATGTAACCGAATAGACATCCGTTTTCTCGTCCACGGATTAATTCCAATTTATGTACGAAATTGAAAGTCGAAGAATAAAGTTTTGGCAATTGAACCCCGGAAATGCAACCATCGAGCCAAACACTCGACGGAGCTGTTCATCCCTCGATCATGAGACATAGGAATTTGAAAACCCTTTAGCACCCTTTTAGGAAGACTCGTAGCATTTTCACTCTCGCCTTCTCGCTTTCCTTCTCGATTTCCTCCGCGTGGAAGTCGAGAGAAAAGAGGGTAGAGGTAGTGATAGTGGAGAAGGAATCGTCGGACAGGGACAGGGAGCAGGCAGTGGCAGCCAACGAACAGCCAAGAGAGGACGAGCCAAGGGCGGCAAGGAGGGGCCGGCGCGGCAGAGGAGCCGCGCAAATCCTTTTAAATCCACACAATTGCGACAATGGGGCTTTATTTGTTATCTCGGGGGCCACATTGTGAGTCGCCGTGAACGAACGGACAGATTACGTCGGGCCAGTGACGGCGCACGGCTCCAACGGAACCCGTTCCTACGACGGAACGACTTTTATCGGTCCCTCTCCTCTTTATTTTACGACTGTCCCCCCTCGATTTCGTGCCAACCCCTCTCGCGTTTCTACCGGGTGCTAGACTCGTCAGCGACGCCAGGAAAGAGGATTCGCCGTTACACACCTTCCTTTCTCTCTCTCTATCCGAAATTTTGCACCCCCTATATTCCACCTATCCCTCTATTCTGACCTTTTCTGAGATACGGATGAAATGAATATTGAGGCTCTTCCTCGGCTCTCTGGTCTTCCATTTGGGAATGAAATGATTCACGAAGCGGTTCCCGCTTTGTCTCATGCCGAGAAAAAGATGCTCTTTAAAGAAGAATTAAAAAATGTTTCATATTTTAATTAGCAGTTAAAAAAGTGATTCATAATATACCCCGGCAATCATCTTCAGGCGGAACGATATTTTCAATTCGACAATTGGAGGGTGCAATATTCGAGTACGGAAAAAAGAGAACCAAATGGCAACTGACACGGACCATGCGTCACTGCGAAGTTTGATAATTCCTATTGTCGAGCTCGATCACGGTCATCGATAAAAAAAGCTGATTCGATGTTACATTCCGTCGATAGAACTTGGTTCCAGCTCGATTGATCCCTCTTTCTCCTATTCTTCCCTTTTTCAAAAATCGATCTACCGAGTACGTAGGAAAAAGGAGAAAAAGATTGAAATTGCATCGCTTTACACAGGAACGACTTTATTATTCTCACGTTTGTTTTACAAGCATCATTATTTCAGTAAATAATATTACTGAGCTTCGTATTTTAACCCCATCGTATAATTTTGAGAATTCTTGTTTGGAAAAAGCCATAGTTAGATTCTATTATTGGATTTTACCTACGTTGAAAACTGAACCATCATCGTCTACTCCATACGCGATGTATTCTTTCTGATACAGCGTTCAGCATTACTATTCGATTAAAATATCAAGATTAAAGCTCTAATATTTCTTCATTAGTCCCGCTGACGGCGAATGAGAAAAAAGTGATGAAAATACCGTTCGACCTGTTTCATCGTTACAGCAGCAGGCTAAATAAACTCATAACAATGATTAAATATTCAGGGTCGGTAATAAAGAGGCTGTCCCCTCCACCTCCGTAAATACCACTTCGTTCATCCTATTCCACCCCTTGGCTTAGCGTAGCACGCCCTTAGCTTTAGCAACAATGTACCGTATTATGAACTACGACCGGCCCCCCTTTCTCTTTTTTCATCCCCCTCAACGGTTATTGCAGATACGCCTCGATGCGATAATTCCGTTCGGCCACTCGTGACTAAAGACCAATTAAAGTGTAAAGACAAATCCTCCAGCATTCATTGAAAACGATACGAAATAAAATTTCCAGATTTATTGCTTGTAAAAAAACTCGAGCTAAATACATTTGATTTTTATAGAGAATTATTGAAACTATTTTTTAAATATGTATACCGTTTAAAATTATACTGATTCATGACTTTATATTTTCTGTTTTCAACTTTTAATTAACGTGATTTAGCCATAATACGTTTTGGCGAATGTTGTAAGAAATAAATGAACTTGATCTTGACGCTCACCTTAATCTTTTGGCCTCATCGATGAAAGGTCGCTTCTCACTTTCGCTGAGGAGCTTCCATTCCGCGCCAAGCCTCTTCGAGATCTCAGAATTATGCATCTTTGGATTTTCTTGTGCCATCTTCCGCCGTTGACCTCGTGACCACACCATGAACGCATTCATAGGACGCTTGATATGTTCGTTGTGAAGCGTTTTCGACGACATCTCGATCACTCTATCTCTAATCCCTTTTTTAATTAATTTCTACAAACTGTCCTTGGATTCTTTTTACCTCAGAGTTATCGTTTCACATGTTTCTGTGCATAACAAAATCTGCTTTTCACTACTCTTGGGCATCATGATTCTGTGCTTGAGAAATACCGCGACACAACACTTTTCTATAACGATACCACGCGTTCGTATAATTCAACGATTTTCACATTTTTCTTGCAATCATCAGATCACAGTTCGATATCTGACAGTTCTAACGAAATTCTTCTTATCGTTCTTCTTGTGTCAAGAGTGTTCACTCACCCAGATTCCCACACGGAAAGATGCCCTTCTTGTCCTTTCACTCACTCACGGAATCATTCTTCAATGTCCAAGAGTCATCGAGGGCTCGCTGGTTCGTCGTCCAATTCGACGAAACTCGACGTGCCGCGAGCGTGGCGGGGAACGTGAGGTAACACCACCGACAGCACAGAGCACCGTGGCAGCGTGATTGATACCGTGACGAGCACTGGCGGAAGGGAAAAGGATCCGTCAGGACCTCTCTGACGTCGGAGTCTGGGATGAGTCAGGGTGGAATCAGGAGCACGGAGTAGCCCGGAGTCCCGTGGGACGCGGGTGTACCGACGTATCGTCCAACCAGGAATCTTCTTCCTCTCCCACCATGGTCCACGGCTAATGGATACCCACGATTGGCTCCTTCGTCGACATGGCGGACGGAGGATATAGCTGCAATCAACAGGTGGAGGTGTGTTGCCGCCGACCATGTTCTCCTCTCCGTTCCACTCACCCTCGTGCTTCGTCCCTCTCTGTTCGCCGGACACATACTCGAGTCACGACGACGCTCCGCCAGTGTTCGTTACGCAGATTATCGTATCACCTACTACCGCTTTTCTGACCTTTTTTATTAACTCATCCCCGAATTCGTCTCTCGTTGCGTTTAGTAGACATCGATACTTCGGAGACAATGCGCCCGGAATTGGTTCCAAATAGCACGAGTCAATCATAAGTCGGACGTTACGAAATTCGCTGCTTGCGTATATTTGATAAATAACTTTGGCTGCCCTTCTTTAAGATAACGAGACGTAATTTATTAATCAAAACATGAATGTCGCAAGAATGATAAATTGTTTGAAAAATTCCAACTGTTAACGTAAGATACAAAAGTAACATTCTCTTATAATTTAATATATTTCAGTTTCTCGTTTAAACTTCCAGAAGATGTATAGAACACATTGAACGATGTTTCGATCAGAATTTCGTTGAACGTCATCAACTCCCTCGTTAATATAGCGGAGCGTCGCGGAGAATTTTTTCTCGCTTTGTTCGACCGTTGTACGAGGCGAAGAGGAGCGAAGAAGCGGGGCGACTTCTCCGGAATAAATGTTATCAGCCACGGCAATGTCTTGCCGACAAGAAGCGGTCGACGGGGGCTGAAGACGTCTCCTCGTAGTGATAAGACGATAAAGAGAAGTGGTGTAAAACGAGACAAGAGGGGCTATGTGTTAGTGGTAACATCTCAGCGAATTCCAACTTCCATAAAGAAACAACTGTACGGTCGCCTGCCATCGAATTTCCGGCAGATTCCGAAATATTCATCTGACGGACTGGAAGGAGGGATAGGTAACTGTGTCAGTCAACGGAAAATGTAATAATGGGAGAAGTGGCGAGAAAGAGCACCGATCGTTAAATGATATTCTCTCTATCTTCGTTCCTCCTCATTTTTCTTTAAATACGATCTCAAGAAACAACTTAACAATATACATATTAACATGGGGGAATCGTCATACGTCAGGAAGAAATTTGCTGCGGAATTTAATCAGGGACAGATGGGCAAATCAATGAACAGTGAGAAGCAGGGAACGCAGGAGACGAAACGAGGGTTCGGTTTAGATCATCGAAGGTAATCAGCTATTTGTTCTGTTATTAACTCGATCATAAATTCACCACGCGACGGTGAATAAATCGGCACGCTCACGCGGTCGTTTCGTTCCGTATCGACGTTCCTTTCACCCAGCCCTCGTTCTCGTTGCACACTCTCCGTCGATCGCAGGGCGTGAACGCGATTTTTATCGGTCATCGACGAGAAGAAAGGACCTCGAAAAGGGGTCTCTTTTCATAGCCGACGTTGTACCAAACCCTTATCTCTACACTGACACTTTCAATTAGTCCCTATCTCTGGGAAACGCTTTGGCTCCCCACTTTGTGGAATGTTTGGTCGCGGTATTAAAAGATTTATCTTCCATATATGTATTAAGATAAACATACTATTATACAGTCGAAGATGAATTTACTCAATGCCAGTATCAATTGCTACATGACGAGAATGAATGAAAGAGTTGAAGAATTGAAAGATCGTAAACAAGTACTCAGTAAAAATTTTAACATTTCCAAGCAGTTTGTAAAGGAGACGGTATAAAAAAGAGAAGTGGCTACGGAGAGTGATAGAAGAGGGGCGTTAAGTGACTTTTTCACGTCTCTACCGATTCCGATAGGCGCGGTAGGGAATTTCTCTATCAGCCGTCTCGTTCTCTTTCTATCCGTCTCACCTTCCGCTACACTATCGTCTCGGTCTCTCTTCCCGTGGCGTAGGGTGGCACGCGACCACTGATTATACCATTCATCGCGCACCGTGGTCCGTCGAAAGAGGGTTGCCGAGCGAACTCGTAAACGTCGTGGCATCATCGTGTCCCCCCCCCGTTTCACCCACCGCGTGCCCACTTTCGGTCCCGGCGACTGCTACGGCCCTGAATGCTCCCTCATCAATGAAACAATCCTGGCTTTCCGGTGGCCCGTCGCCGACGGCTCCTTAATTTTGGGACACCGCGCTTTCCCCTCTTTTCCAGGGAACACTTTCTTTGCCATCTTCGATCAATTTACGATGTTGTTGGTGTTTGTTTCCCCGCCTTGATTTCAACTGTTTCAGCAGCGATATTCTGGTTCTATCGGTGTGAATGATACGGCAATCGTCCAGAAGGATTTCTTCTTGGTGCTCGATATTTACAATAGTGCAGGCGATTAATTAAATTATTTCCATCGCGAATACAACTTTTCTTGTTATTTATTTACGATACAATCCGACGAGCAATCAACACCGATCCCTGTCACGAGTCGATCCAATTCTCGAAGTTCCCGCGTCTGGGAAAATTCTCGTCAGACGTGACGAAAAGAAGGCGACTTGACAAAGGGCACTCGCGAGGAATCGTCGCTGCGATTGCTGCAGCGACAACAAAACGGTGTCCCGTGACGCCGAATGGCAGTAAGAGGCACGTGAGGGGTGCGCGAAGCGTTGAGGACCGGGGTTGACGCGAGAGGCGGGGGTGGCGTCGAAAAGCTCGCTGATTACTCCATTGTCGGGCCGGTTGTTTCAGTTAATCGCCACGCCTCGTGGCGTTTTGTTGTCCTTTTATCGCGCGCCGTTCTGCCGACCAGTTGCCAGCTGTATCCAGCCGGATACACGAGAAGGGGGTATGCGTCCCCAGAATTCAAGACGTCGCGAATTCTTCAACGCTGCCCGGTAATGAAGGGCAGAAAGTGCACTACGTCTATTTTTCATAAAATATGAAACTGGTTTAAAAGGTATTTAGTTATGAAAAAGCATCATTAGAAAAAGTCTGAAATTGATCAATTCTTAGTAAATCGGAAATTGAAATGTCGTCAACGCTTCGAGCGGGAGGAGCTATCGGTTTCTCGACGGATCGAGCGAATTCGTAGTACGGACGCGGATGGTGTCGCGAGGATGGAAAAGATAAAAGAGGTAGCCGCGAAAGGGCGTTCCCCGTAAACGAGACTCGATTGTCCGTATCGGGAGCGTTCCTCGAGGTCTCGTAAAATCGAATTCCACTTTGTTTGGCCGAATATGTACACGCCGGCATTCGGTATTCAGCATGCGGCTCGCTCGGCCAGGCGTCGCCGCATCGCGCCGTATCAAAATAGAGCCTCCGCTACGGTAACTTATTCGCCCGAACAAAATCGCGTGGAAGGGTAGTATTTTATGGAGTCCCGTTCGGGGGTTATATACGATGAATAGATCGAACGGTGGCGGGGGACTGGCCTCGTCGTATGTGACTCGAATCTGTCATAAAACGGGGGTGCAGCCACCCTCGCGCGCGACAAGCACGCACGTATACTAATCTCGCCGTTTGCCTTAGAACCGATGATCCTTTTGATATTCTCCTCGTATGTGGAACCTCATTTTCCGCTAATGATAGCGGTGGTTAGTTTGCTGGCCGGCTCGTGGGAGCTCCTCTTTAAGAGTACGCTTCGTCACGCGCGGCTCCGAAGACCGTGTTACAAACGAAACGTTCTTCCAACTTAATTTTTGTAGTCACGTCAAATACGTGAATTCCTATCTTTACGGGTTTCTAATCTTCGTTCACGCACCCTGTTATCACTCCGTCGCATCGTTCGTCTCGACGTTACTTCGTTGTAGATACTCTATTTTACCTATCGAATCTGGAGATCTTACATGTTGTCTGTATTTCTACAGCCGTACAAACAAAGTCTGATCCACCGTTATCAGGTCCCTCAAAAACGATTCCTTAAAGGTGAGCCGTAAACAGACGAAGATACGTCCCGTTAAATAGGAGATCTCGACTTTAGTGAAATAGAGTTTCACGGATTCGTCTTATCGTCAGAACTGCGATTCGAGCCGTGATTCCACGAGTCACGAAATTCTATTCACGCGGAGCCCACCGGGGCCCTCGATGACTAACATTCCGCTGACAACTGTTCACGGGTGATAGATAACCCTTACGGCTCGCGTGAAATCCCGCGAGCGTATCATGTCGGCGGATTATCAATCATAATCGGAAAATAATTATCCGCGGCCGACGAGTTCCGTGCTAGCACGGACGAATGGGAAGACCGGCTTGTCCGCCCGGTTAAAACGGCATCTGAATCGCCGCTAATTGTGAGGAATGGTCCCGCGTCGGTCGCGACCGATCGCTGATTCGACGGACGACGCGCGTGTGTGCACGCCTCGAGTGAGCTCGTTCGATACTTATTAGACATCGAGAAGAAGCGATGCCTCGCGTGGATGTCGGGCAAATTGTATTTAAAATGTTGGGAACGTGCCTCGAGCCAGGGTATCATTTTACGGTTTGAATAACTTTATGATGTATTCAATTAAAATACTCATAGACTTCAGCTTTTTATGAATTCGACCAGTATACAATTCTTAAATTATTATACCAACTGGTAGTCTCTGATGTTTCGATACAGACACATTTTGTGATCACTCGTAAAGGATTTCACCGTACTAAAATATTCATTATCACGTCGTTGAATTGAAAACTTTATACAGGCGGCAACTTTTCCCCGTCGGAGATTACAATAACATCTCGTTACCACGAGTGGAGCAGGGATTCTGACTTTCTGCGTGACAACGAGCCTCGGCGAGGAGGGTCGGGAAATAAACGACACGAGGGAACGATTAAACGTCCGTCCGATGTCCATCAATATCGGAGGGCCCACCAAGCAGAAGAAGAG